TTGTTGTTGAGTTGATTCCGATTCATAGCAACCCAATAGGACACAGCAGAACTGCCCCATAGGGTTTCCAAGGAGCAGCTGGTGGATTTGAACTGCCGACCTTTTGGTTGGCAACCAAGCTCTTAACTATTGCGTGTTAATTGGTACAGTCTGTCTGTACTTCTTGGAATTTATACTCAATAGCTACAGTAATTAAAGGATGTGAACAGCAACATTATTTATAAGAGTAGTTGTTAGTTGCTGTTGAGTTGGCTCTGACTCATGGTGACCTTATGTATAACAGAATGAGATGTCACTTGGTTGCCTAAAGTGTGTCTAACCTAAGCCATAGTCTTTCAGTCATTTATGAGAGTAGAGACTGGTAATAACTCAAGTGTCTAACAGCATGAAGCTGGTTAAATAAATGATGTTTCTTCATTAAATAGATACCAAGCACCCGTTAAAGAGTGTTGAAGTAGAATAGTGACATGAAAAACCACCAGTGATATATTGTTAAGTCAAAAACAATGGTTACATAATAATGTGTATCAGAGGACGCCATTTTTATAAAATATATGCATAGAAAAAAATGAAGGATATACTAAAGTTAACAGTGGCAGCTTTTTTGGAAGGAGAAATTAAGGGTGATTTTGATGTTCTTTTCTCATTTATATTTTCCCTATATTGAGGATTTATGAATTTTATAATAATTAGACTGAAAAAGGATGACTGGCTTTGTTAGACTAAGACAAAGGGAAGGGGAGGAAAGTTTGGGAGATTAACTCTCTCTTATTAACATTGCCACTATGGACAATTTAATACAAATTAGTTTCCCTGACAAATTACCTGTCCTGTTAGAAAACTCAGATCCTGATTGGATGGAAGAGTTATACGGGTAGGGGGCAGGAACTAGAAAAGTCAGGAAAGTGAAACACGATCTTGGGAAGCAAGTGAAAATGAGATACCACAGTGCCTGGAAACACGGGATATCTGAAAGGAGAATGAGAGTCTAGAGAGGGCAGAAGAAGGAAAAGAGAAGTGTTCAGACCAGCTTTACTTACTCTTTATTTCACTAAATGTAGTTGGATTAAAACTCCTCGCTTGGGTGCAGATTTGAATATCATGATGGATGCTAATAACCTTGTTATATAATTTGTGGAAAATGTATTTACAAAAATGGCTTGACCATTTTTAGAAGATTCAGGACCTAAGTTCTGGGCCAAAGAGGACCTGTCATTATGATACCAGAATGCACCCAGCCTTGCAGGTTTCCAGCTTTCTGAATTTCTGGGTTTTTTATTTTGTTTGTTTGTTTTGTTTTGTTCAGGGTGACCCTGACCATGGTAGACTGTACTACTTATCTTTGTATTTCCAGCCCAGGCTGTAAGTATATTTATTAAAACTGAATTCCAGGGACCTGAGCACATTCAGGGAACCAGAGCCAGTACTTCCAGGTAGGAAGAGTAGCTAGTGGATTAGAAGGCTCATTGACATGCTTAAACTTAAAGCCCTGTGTGTATAAAAGAGTTAACACAGCAGGCCTGAGACTGCTATCTTTAGAAAGTCCTGCTTGCAAGGTTGGGCCTTGGCTGGAGCTGGAACTGGACTGGCAAACAGTTCCCTACATGGATATAAAACTTTCCCTAAATGATAAGGGTGGCTCACTATGCCTAGACTGTGCAAACAATGTGATTTATGCTGAACATTTGCTTTCCTTTTGGGAGTCTGGAATTTTGGTAGTTGCTAGAGAAAAGGTGCATATGTAACCAGCCCCCAGTAAAAACCTTGGGTGGTAAGTCTCTAATGAGTTTGCCTGGTAGAGAACATTTCACACATGTTGTCAATTTGTTGCTGGAGGAATTAACACATCCTGTGTGATTCCACTAGGAGAGGACTCTTGAAAGCTTATACCTGGTTTCCTCTGGATTTTGTTCCATGCACTTTTTTGTTCTGCTGATTTTGTTCTATTGTCTCTTGCAGTATCAAACTGTAATGGAGTGTAATGACTTCTGAGTCTTCTAAGTCTTTCTAGTGAAATCACTGAACCTTGGGGTAGTCTTGGGGGATCCCTGACACAATCTGGGTGTTACATTACTTGATTTTGTTCCATATTGTTTGTTAAAACAATTTCAAATTTTATATCGAGCATTTAGTGGTGTAAATCTTTAAAAATAAAAAATGTGGAAGATGGTGAAAAATTTTTTGCCAAGTTAAAATTCTCAAAGTTCTTTTGTCTTACAAAAATTTTATGCATTACTTTTCTTTTTACATTGTAGTCATTTGAAAACTTAATTTATTTTATTTTCAGAATTGGAGACTTCCTTCACCCAAAAGAAGGTGTCTAGTCCGTCTTCATTACAAAATGAAAATGGCGTTGATGTGGAGCCAACTGAGGAGGCAGTTATTCAAAAACCTCGAAAGAAGACAAAGTAAGAAATTATTTGTCCTTCTAAATATTCTCCAGGGTTACCCTGATGCTTAATTTGGAGCTTACAAATGATAGTTTGTCATTAAGTCTTGTTAAATATTTGTAGCGATATAGATCTAGGATAAGTAATGTTACAGAACTCTCAGTTAAACCAATCTAAAGGTAAATTTGAAAAGAACAAATTACTGAGTAAAGTAAAATACTGTACTTAAATAAAAAAATCTTGGGAGCTGACTCTAAAAATGAGAAACATAGATGATTTTACATAAATAGCAAAAAAATTAAAGATAATAAAATAGGCTACTATAATTTATTGTCTCGTGTTAACAGAATTCAAACTGCAATTATTTTAGCAATAAATAAAAATGTATATTTTAGCGTAGGAAATTAAGCCTTAGGAGTTATATACCACTGTTGTCTGTATTTGAAAGGGATTCTACAAATAGTGATCAGTATCTATATAGAGTCAATATATTTCAAATCTCAAAAGAACCTTAAAAATCTAGTTTATTCACTTCATTTTCCAGATGAAAAAACTGAGGCCCACAGAAATATAGGTGACATGCTACAGCTAACAACAGTTAATAACAAAGCCATGAGTAGTAACCAAGTTTCTTGGCTCCAAGTCCAGGACTCTTTCCATTATATTCACAGGTACCTTGTTATATAGATCTGTAAAAATTCAGTAACCATCCATTTTTCTTACATTTTCCCTGATTACAGGAAAACCCGGCCATCAGAATTACAGTATGCTAATGAACTAGGAGTGGAAGATGAAGATATAATTACTGACGAGCAAAATAGTCCAGAACAACAGTCTGTATTCACTGCACCCACTGGCATTAGCCAGCCTGTAGGCAAAGTATTTGTGGAAAAAAGCCGTAAGTATTTCCTTGTTTTGAGACATAAGCTGTTTAGAAATTATACCAGGATATCCTTTGACCTAGGAATTATACTTCTGGAAATTTGAATGAAGGAAATAAGTAGAAATAGGAACACAAATTTATACACAAAGCTAATCATCATAGCATTTTCTTGAGAATGAAAAAAATAAAACAGCCTAAGTGGGAAATAGGAGGAGAATAATTTCAATAAGTTATGGTATATCTATACAATAAAATATTCTGTACCATTAAAAATAGTGTTTAGGGAAAAGTTTTCATAAAAAGATCCCAAAGAAAAGTGAACGTGTATACACACACATACAGTATGATCTCAACTATAGAAAAATGCTATGATCTCAATTATAGCAAAATCCATAGAACAAAAGGACTAGAAGGAAATATGTTAAAATATTAAGGGTGTTTGTTTCTCGGTTGTAGGATTACATGTGATTTTTTTTTTCTTTATCTCCACCCCCACCCCTGTTCATTTCTTTGAACTTTGTTATACTTCCCGTTTTCTACAATTGGTGGTGGTGATGGTGGGGGAGCAGGTGATGATATAAATTCTGTAAGTAAAAAATAAATGAGAGAAAATGTATGATGGTACTACCATATTAAATAAGAAACACAACATTCTAGCTATATATTCTCTGGGAAAATGGTTCTGACATTGTGTAGCATGTATTGGTTATAGGACAGTGGGTTCCAGTATTTCAGAAAAATCTGTCCAAAGAGTGATTATGACCATATTCTAGTCCTGTGGATATGCTGCCTAAATAACTAATTCAAAACATAAAACTTAGTCCTTAAAATTTGCTATTTAGATTTTGTATAAATTGTTTTTAGAATTTTGATTCCCATCTAAGAGTTCTTGGAGTTTTGGCCAGTGAGACACCTGCGGCCTGGAGAGGCTAAATGACTTACCCAGGGTCTCACAGTCGGTTGTGTTAAAGGTTTCTAGACTTCATTCTGGGTTGGAAGTTCATTATTGTATTTCATAAATAGAATTGATATCTAAAACTTAGCATCTATTTTGGGTTCATAAGAAAATACATTAGCCTTGTTTATTTTTCAAAAAGTGAAAAAATAGTATGTTCAAGCAATAAAAAGAAAAAAAAACCTTCAGAAATAGGGACTGAGTTAAGGAGGATTTTTAGATAGAAAAACAGCAAAATTTTAGCCTTAGTCCGAGGGTACTTAAGTGTAGAAAAGTAAAAACGACTGCCAGGTTCTTTCTTGCTAGATGTTAATGATTGTGTTATGTGTTCTTAGGGCGATTCCAGGCCGCTGATCGTTCAGAGTTGATAAAGACCACAGAAAACATAGATGTGTCCATGGACATGAAGCCTTCCTGGACGACCAGAGATGTTGCACTTTCAGTGCACCGGGCTTTCAGGTGGCTCCTTTTGTTGGACTTTTCTGAAAACAAATGTTAACTGGGTTCCATAATTAAAAAAAAAAAAAAAAATTCTTGGTTGTTCAATACTGTTAACAGAGTTGACAATCTAAAATGATATAGGCGTTTTTTTAAAACAGTTAATTAGAGGTAAATGATCTAATCAGTGTAGTAAAAAGAAAAAACTTGTTTTAATTTTTCCTGAAATGTTGAATTTTATTCTTATGTGAAGAGATTTAAAAAAATTATTTAGCATTTTACTGTAGTAATTCTTGTGTAACAGTTAAGTGCTTTTTCTTTCAGGATGATTGGTCTCTTTTCTCATGGCTTCCTGGCTGGCTGTGCTGTGTGGAATATTGTAGTGATATATGTTCTGGCAGGAGATCAGCTATCGAACCTCTCAAACCTTCTGCAACAGTACAAAACCTTAGCATATCCATTCCAGAGTCTTCTCTACTTGCTTTTGGCTCTAAGTACAATTTCCGCTTTTGACAGGTAAGACTCTTGTGACTGGAGATCCTTCTAACTTCTCTTCAGGAAGAAGTGTTGAACTAAATGTATCACTGACTCACTATGACAATTTCAGAATAAAATTATAGTATATTAATGTTATTTTGACATTTTAAAAAACCTTTTTCTGTTTTTTGGGGGAGGGGGATAGGACTGTTGTAAACAGAAACTTCTGCAGTATCAGGATCATTAAAAAAAATGACAACTTATTATAACCTAATGATATAGATGATAGAAGAAGGTAGAAGCTAATGAAGTTTTGCAGATAAAATTTGTTTCTTCAGGACTTCTTCAGGACTTCTTAACTCCAAGGGAATGCCTAAAATAGTCTTCTAGTTAAATGTTTCATATATCATTTATAAATAAGATATTCTTGTATATATGTTAAGTATAAAGTAACTACTTAAAGCCTAGTAATTCACAATTTATGTAGTAGCATTAGAGTAGAGAAGAAAACTAGAGTAAAAGAGTAACAGTTTTGTAAGTTTACAGTTGCACTGTGACAAGAGGCTTTTGTATTTTCTAGGATTGACTTTGCTAAAACATCAGTAGCAATCCGAAGTTTTCTTGCTCTGGATCCAACAGCTTTAGCATCTTTCTGTGAGCAAATAGTTTAATTTGATAACTATGTAATACTTGAGTTACCCTGTAATTTCAAGCCAGGAAAAATATAATTTTCATTTTAAAAAAGACTTTATATTATTGCTACTTAAGAACATTACTTACAGATGTTCAGTGGAATTTGTAATTAAAAAAAACTTGGCAGGCATAATTTTGATAGACTTATTTATCAATACAGGTTGATCTGAGTAACTTGTAAAAGTTAAATATTTTGCTCTATACTACTTAATTATGTTTTTTAGCTTTTGTATTTCTACTTGACATTAAACAGACTGCTGGTACTACTTTTCAATAACATAGATCATATCTTTCTGATAATTTGGATACATCTGTTCTAAGTTAAGAGAATACTAATAAAACTAGTTTTAGGACCTTCAGCAAGTCATTTAATTTCTTAAAAGATCTTCTAGGTTCCTGTCAGTTCTAATGATGAAATAGTGAGCATCTTAAAAGACCCTTTATTACCTGTATTCTTAAAAAATATATTATGCTATTATCTATTGAAATCAATTAAATAAATTTCTTTTCTATATTATTCACCAAAGTACAGATTATTTTTGTCTTTATTAATTCAAAGTAAACCTGGTCGTTAAAAATACATTATTAGTAATTTCATTTGTCTTTTTTCAGTGTACTTTACTGCTCTTACACTATCTCTGAGTCAGCAAATGACAAGTGACAGAATCCACCTTTACACACCTTCTTCTGCTAATGGTAGCCTCTGGTAAGAATTCACAATAGTATCAGCAATTGTTGATGGTAATAACAGCAACAGTGGAAATAATGTTACTTTTCTCAACCTTCTAATCTTTTACATATTTTCATCTATAAGTAATAATGAAGGCCCTGTTTTTGTTTCTAAAATATGGCAAGAAAATACCTATCCTACTAGTTAGTGGACAATTCTATTTTTAATGAAATATCTTCTTTCTGGAAATCTGCTTTAGATCTGGTTATGGTGTTAGAATAGTCATCAGAAGATGGACTGGAGGAGCCCTGCACCCTCACCCCTAGTTAGGGAGCCTGATACCCTAGAACAGTGATGGGAATGGGTGGCTGGGATAGACTCAGAAAACCAAGCAGTACTAGAAGAGAGCAGAATGGGAGCACCACCATCTGCAGATCAGTGACCAACCATGAAGCTGACAGGTTGGCTGAGATTGCAGTTCACAAAAGTCAGAGGGGCAGTCTTTTTTAGAGAGTGGCTGGGAGCATAGGGTAAAGAGAGAAAGGATGTATACTTCCTGGAAGAATAGTGCTGTAGTAGTTGGAAGGAAACTTTTGGAAAAGTTTTTTGACAATACTATATTTCCATTAATGTGCAAAACGGATGTGTTTAAAGTCCAGGTAACCTTTGGCTTTTTGTTCTCATGATATATAATATGGTTCATTTTATAGGGAAATTATATTGTATTTCATGCTTTACCTGTTATTTCTGTAGGAGAGGACTGCTATTTGTTTTTGAAGTTCATAAAATAGATATATTTGGATACATGAACCAAAATAAAGACATTTCTAATGAGTATTTCTGTATCCTTAGGGCGGCAGGAATTGAGGAACAGATTCTCCAGCCGTGGATTGTGGTGAATCTGGTGGTAGCCATTCTGGTTGGATTATCTTGGCTTTTTTTATCTTATAGGCCTGGCATGGATCTTAGTGAAGGTATGAAAGAAAAAATAGTATTAAAATATCATGAAATCTTCTATAATGATTTTATAAATCTTCTTTTATAGCTTATAATATTCTGATAGCAAAAGCATATTTAAAACAAAATACCTCAAAAAGTGAAAATAAAAAATGATACAGAATGCCAAGAGAAGCAGGACAAAGTCTAGGAGAACTGGAGTCTGGGAGTACTCAGTGAGGGGCTCCCATGGCCCTCGTGCATATTTAGGGGCTATTTCTTTTAACCCTTCAAGTAATTTATAGAAAGTCTTTGCTCTTCACTTTTCTTAGTCTCTTTCTGATCAGCATATCTCTTAATTTGAAATAGATTATGCTTCATCTATGTAGCCTCTCTGTCAGATACATATTCAAGTGAATTATTCTTACCTTCTTCTCTATTTGGCAAAAATTCTTCGCTCTTCATGGTCTAGTGAAGCATTTAGTGATCATATCTTTACTGTGCCTAGTATGAAGTGGGGGACTAATCTCTAGTCCCTGCCCCCTTTTGGAACACCTCTGAAGAGGGAATATCATATTAGCAAACTGAGAGTCCTTTAGCACTACTTTAGCAACTGCTTAGTATGTTTAGTGTAAGTTGTATTTCCTTGGCAGGTGTTTTACTCACCCTTGAGTCACTTTTATGGATATTATCTGGACTTTGGTTATTGCCTTATCCTTGATTTTTCAAACATCATGAGTACTTAACTGCAATTTGATCAACTAATTACAACCTGTCTTAGAATTGAGAATATTCCCAACATTTCCATTTTAAAAACCAAGACAAAATGTAATATCCTTTATATTTTCATTCATGAATGTGTCTGTTTACATCATAATTACCATGTTGTCCCACTGAATATCCTGTTGATTTTTTTTGATATATTTAAAATATTTGTGAAAAAAATCTTTTTAGTCTTTTATGTGTTTTGCTGTTTTTTCTCATTCAGTGTAGTTTTTCATTATTTAAAGTTTTTATTTCATTTAATACTTTTATCAGAGGTCTTTATTAGATTCTTAATTTTTTTCCCTATATTTCTTGGTATTTTAATAAATTACATATGTATACTAAGTAACAGTTTAAACGTAGAAGTGTTAACAACATTCTACCCTGTAGTTGGGATTGAAGCTACATCCAGCTGGCTTGTGCAGTCTTCAGTCTAAATCACAGAGTATATGTTATTTGCTAAATATTTGCAGACCCTATCCTCTCTTAGGGCCATATGAATTATATAACATTTTATTTCTGTGTGGATAAAAAAAGTAAAATGAGGATGAAATTGTGTAGCTTAGTGGGTTGTTATGGTGATTAAATGGGATAACACATTTATGATGTCTTGGCACACACACACCTAATGTTAGTTCCAAGTCTTCCTCAGTATCTGTCCCCTACATTTTATATTATCATGATCATTATAGAATTAGGCCTTCTAGCTGTGCAGTGACTTTCATCTTCATGCATTCTCTAAGTGACTTAAATTTCCTAGTCATATTTTTTATATTGCTATTACATGTTTTATTTTTCAGAGGTTTATAATAAATCTAAAACTTGAATATTTTAAAATGTAAAATGTGTACCTTTGTCATTAGCTCATCTTTTAAATCAAGTTTCTGTACGAAGAATTCTTACTTATGCTTGATGGCTGGCTTTCTTTTATTGTATCTATGTCAGTATTTCAAGAGATTCTTTATAACTCAGTTATAAAACTCTTTTTTAGGCACTAGGAAACAATTTTAATTATGATCTGTTCATCTTCTCCCACAGAGTTGATGTTCTCCTCTGATGTGGAAGAATATCCTGATAAAGACAAAGGAATCAAAGCCTCTTCATAATACCAACTCACCTTCAGAGTAATAATGACTCAGTATTTAAAAAATTTCCCATTTTTTTAAAACCTGTTTTTGTAAGATGTGTCTATGTGTGTTTATAATTGATTTTTTTGGTTATATAATACTGAAAAATTTCTCTAGGTTATGGAAAATGTTAAAATTACGTCTGCTGTTTATACCCAGACATTAATTTCTATAGCATTATCATGTTACTGACAAAGGAAATAATGAGGTAGCAACCAGCAAGTGAAAGTGTTTATTTTCCTTTTTCTAATTAGTTGCATTTATAATGATTATCTTAAAAAGTGCAAATGTAGAAAAAAGCCATACTTTTAGTGTTACAAAATATATATCAGGTTTAAACATAAATTTAGAGAGTAGAGTTGAAGAAAAAAGAAAAAGGCCTTCATTATTTATTTTTGATGTCTCACTGAATAAATTGAAATATGAGATTTATGTTTTTTGAAACTGGCTCAGTGGTTGTATATCATGTAATAATTATAATTCATCTTGGAAGACGCTTTACTTCATGACTAATAAAAAGGAAATGTATCTGTATTTGAAAAGATTTGTAACCAAAAAGGTTTATTTCCGTTTAAAACCCATACCAGTGGTTCCCATATCTGGTTGCACATCAAAATCATTTAGGGAGCCTTATTTAGCAAAAGAGAAGCTGAGCTCCTCCAAGAGCTCAGGGGAATAAAGGAGAGGCCTACAAGGCGTGCTTGTTGGGCTAACACTCCCAGTTGGTCTGTGCAGCTCCCTTTGCCACTGCCTCTTTTCTGAGTGATAAGAACATGGGTATAAATTCACCATACCTGTTCTCAGGTTCTGTGCCAGAAAGATCTTTGGCCCTCAAGGAAATCCCACTCTTTAGGTAGATTTCTGCACTGGAAAAGGTCTCTTCAGACCTGTCTCCATTGTGCCTCAGCTGGTATCGATGAGGCCCTAGAGCTCAAGACAATGCTAAGACTCACTATGGAAAAAGCTGTCTTTCAGGCTACTGAGCACATCAGTAAACTATTGGACCTGCCCTGATTAGCAAGCAGTGTTTGGATGTTGTGGAACAGAAGAGAATTGATAAATTGATAATATAGATGGATGGCTCTGAGAATAGGTCTGAATTTGGTGTGAACACGTGATAGGAATGTCTTTTGCTATCTGTAAGGCTGCTGCTGAAAACGGAATCCTCCTTCTGTCACAGAATTGCCAATTGTGCCAGTTCCAGCTTTCAGTGTGATCAGTGGTGGTTCTCATGCTGGCAACAAGCTGGCTGTGCAGGAGTGCATGACCTCCCTGTTAGTGCAGCAAATTTTAGGGAAGCCATCCTCATTAGAGCTGAGGTTTACTACACTTAAAGAATGTCATCCAGTAGAAATATGAGAAAGCTGCTAACAATGTGAGCGATTGTGATAGGCTAAATAATGGCCCCAAAGATGTCCATGTCCTAATCCCTGGAACCTGTGAACATGTTACCTTACATGGTAAAAGGGCTTTTGCATATGTGATTAAGGTTATGAACCTTGAGTTGGAGAGATTAGTCTGGATTATCCAGGTGGGCCAGTCTAAGCACATGCATGATTCCTTAAAAGCAGATAACCTTTCCTCACCTGTTCAAGAGAGATGTGATGATGAAAGAAGGATCAGAGAATTGTAACGCTGGTTTTGAAGCTGGAAGAAGGGTCCGTGAGCCAAGGAATGAGTGGCTTCTAGAAGCTGGGAGTGGTCCTCATCCAACAGCCAGTAAGGAAACAAAGGTCTCAGTCCTACAACTGCAAGGGATTGAATTCTGCCAACAACACAAATTAGCAAGGAAATAGATACTGGTTAAAAGCCTCCAGAAGGGAATGCCTTGCTGATAACTTGATTTTAGCCCAGTGAAACCTACGTCAGACCTCTGACTTTCCGTAAATGTGTGTTGTTGAAGCCGCTAAATTTGTGGTAATTTGTTATGGCAGCAGTAGAAAACTAGGGATGAAGGGCATTTTGCATCAGATGTGCTAGAGAAAAAAGAAGCCCAGGATCTGCTGAGGAACGTAATTGGGAAACCTGGCTACATTAATAATATTGTAACTGGCATGGATGGGGATGCCTTTGACTTCTTCAAGTCTGGGAAGTATGACCTAAACTTCAAATCTCCTGATGACCCCAGCAGGTGCATAATCCCTGACCAGCTGGTGGACCTGTACAAGTCGTTTATCAGGCAAAAGCCAGTGGTGTCTTTCAAAGATTTCCTTTGACTCACGTTGATTTGGGAAGTTTGGAAGAAGTTCACTGCTAATGCAAGTCTTCAGGAGGTAGGGAATGATATCACAATGACCAGCTTGAAGCAGATTGCTAAGACTGGATGAGAATTCATGCAACTTTCTCCAGTTCATAGTGGACCAGATTGGTGTGCAAGCTGGTCAAGTCCAACGGGTAGAGCATCATGGTTTCTCATTGCTCATTTACTTAAGATACTTTCATTGCCAACCTGGTGGTGGGACTCTGCAGTAGACAGATAACATGGGCATCTTGTTGATCTGAGCCCTTGGCTAGAAACAAATAGCTCAGTTTTCTAGAAAGGAGTTTAAAAAACCTCCTAGCCAAGTAGACTTTGGACAAGCACTAGCCAGTTGGATAGACTTTTCCTCCTGATCTAAACACAGGCAGCTCAAGGCATCAGAGCAAAACTCTCAGGGACTCTTGATAGTTAACTCTCTTTTCCCGCTAGTGTTCTATCTCACTGCCTCATTACAATTGCTATACCAGAAACCAAGCTTGATCATCTGGAACCCCTTTGGAAGTCATAGCCTTGTAATTATATGATTGGCTCAGAATCATTTTTCTCATCTTTCTCGCTCCATTAAATGTAGGTGGTTAATGATGTACTTTGTTTTCTTGTCAACAGGCCAAATCCCCAGTGGGGCGTGTGTGAGTGTGTGTATGTGTGTGTGTTTGGTACACAAGGAAGTATTCAGTAATACTGCCCTTCAAAAAACAGAACCAAAACATATAGTTGCCTGGGTCGCATCCCCAGAGATTCAGATTTAGTAGATCTGAAGTGGTGCCTGGGAAGCTACTTTTTTTTTTTTTTTTAAAAAAAAGCTAGCCAAGGTGATTGTGATATGCCCAGTAGAATAGCCAGCATTTGGGACCCCTGGCCTGCATATATCGTTTCTAATCAACTATGAAACAAAGCTCAGGTTGTGATAGATGATTTGATCAAATCACTAGGTTTGTTGGAGGGTGAAAAAGTGAGTAAAACATGGTATCTGCCTTTTGGATGCTCATAATCTATCCAGAGGGACATAGGCATATGAGTGGCAGAATCTAGGAAGGAATTGTGGATAAGGATGGATGTGAGCAGATCCTTTATAGGATTTGAGACTTCAAAGTCCTTGTGAGGGCTGTATACCTGGAAAATTACCAAACATAAAAATGTTGAAAGGGTAGCAACTGTAATCTATATCAACCTAGAGTTAATAATTGTTATAAATTTGCCCCATTTGCTTATCTACTTTACCTTTCTTTATATACCCCTCCCTCCTTTTTTCTTCCTAAACCTTTTGAAAGTAAGTTGCAGACATCATGGCACTTAACTTGAAAATTTCAGCATGCATCTCCTAAAAGTAAGGATGTTTGTGTACACATACACGATACCATTAAAACACCTGGAAAATAATAATTCCGTTACATCTTATATCCAGTGCATTCTCAAATTTCCCCAGTTGTCTCTCATTATCCAGTCAAAGTCTACACATTTCATTTGTTATCAAGCTTAATTTAAAATTGTCTCCCTATCTTTTTTTTCCACCCCATAACATTTTTTAGTTGAAAACTTTACTGAGAAAATTGTAGATCCATATAATTGTAAGAAATAATACAGAAAGATCCATTGTACAATTTCTCAGTTTCCCCCAATGGTAACATTTTGCAAAACTATAGTATAATATCACGACCAGGATATTGTCATTGATAACAGTTCACAGATACTATTCAAGTTTCCCCAGTTCTACTTGTACTCATTTGTGTGTATATGTGTGTATTATGTTCTGTACAGTTTGATTACTTGTGTAGGTTTGTGTAGCCACCACCACAGTCAAGATACTGTACTGTTTGAAAACCACAAGTATCCCTCAGGTTGCCCTTTTATAACCAAACCCATTTCCTCCCTACCCGTCCTGAGCCTCCAACCTAACCTCTGGCAACCATTAATCTGTCCTCTATCTCTAAAGTTTTGTCATTTCAAGCATGTTATAAATAGAATCATATGTATGTAATTTTTTGAGATTGGCTCCCGGCCCTCTCCCCCCAGCATAACTGCCTAGAGAGTCATCCAAATTGTGTGTATCAATAGTTCCTTTTGATTGCTGAGTAGTAGTCTAAGGTATGCATTAGCAGTTTCTTTAACCATTCACCTTTTGAAGGACATCTGAGCTGATTCCAGTTTTTGGCTATTATGAGTAAAGCTGCTGTGAACATTCGTTTACAGGGTTTTGTGTGAACTTAAGTTTTCATTTCTCTGGGGTAAATGCCCAGGAGCACAATTGCTGGGTTGTATGGTAATTGCATGCCAAACTGGTTATTAGAGTGGCTATACCGTTTTACATGCCTCCATGATTTTTTTTTTTGAAGGGTCCAAGCCAGTTTTGTTTTCGAATGTTCCACATACATTTTGGATATGCCTGATTTTTTCCTCTTGGTGTCATTTACTTTGTTCCTCAATCTCCTGAATTTCCTGTAAACTGGAGGTTAGATCTAGACGTTTGATTAGCTTTAGGTTAAACATTATTTTTAAAACAAGATTATTTCATTAAACTGTTGGAAATAAAACATCTGGAGCTCAGATAATAATGTACAGGAGGTGATGAATGATACTGTAAATCCCCTAGAAAGAAGAGGGCTCTGATCTGATGGGTTAGGGGACAGACAGGAAAATGAACTCAGGGTGTTTAATCACCATGTAATGAGTCTGGCTGTCCACCAGCATGCTCTGACATCCTTCTAAAGAAGATGGAAATAGTCTGGCAAGTGCTGACAGCCGACGCCCCAGGCTCGCCAAGTTGGCCCTTGTGCAAAGCCGCAGGACGCTCTGTGCTGGTTTGAGGCCTGGCCTCACCGTTGGGTGGCGCCTGTTGCGCGCGAGGGCGGGAAAGCGAGGGAACGGCAGCGAGAGGACTGCGCCTGCGCGGCAGCGGTTGTCGGTTAGGCACAGACAGCCCTCACAGAGGAATGGAGGGATGGAGCTGCCTCAAGACTCGCGAAGAGTTTCCATTTCAGCTGATAACCATAGTGCGCGACTCCATTCCCTGTTCACGGCCCCTATACTTCAGAGGAGCCCTTATGCCACCCTGGATACCATGCACCAAAGAGGGTTCGAGTTTTCTAGCCGCCACCCGCAGGAGCATGGCAAGATGATGCCACCCAAGGCTGAGGTCAAGGAGGGCCCCGGGCACCGGCTGCTGAACGTGAGCGAGTAGGATGAGGAGAGGGTCCAAGCAGCGTCTACCTCTACCCTGACCACCTGGAGGGCCATGAAAGTGGCTTTAACAGTCCATTCAATTCAAGAAAGGGTTTAAAGGGGTCAATGAATGCAAACTGGAGGGAGGGAGACTGCCCTAAGTTGGAAGCTGGTATAAATGAGAGTTTACATGTGGCACTTTGGGAATTATTTAACTTATTGGAGGGTCGGTTAATTGTAAAACGAAGACAATAATTAGTTCCTACTTACAGGGTTGGCTTGAGGAACTAAAGGAGATAATGATATAAAGTGCTTAAAACCTATTGCCTTTGAGTAGATTTCGACTCATAGCGACTCTATAGGACAGCGTAGAACTGTCCTATAGGGTTTCCAAGGCTGTAATCTTTATGGGGGAAACCCTGGTGGCGTAGCGGTTAAGAGTTCCGCTGTTAACCATAAACAATGGCAGTTCGAATCCACCAGGTGCTCCTTGGAAACCCTTTGGAGCAGTTACACTCTGTCCAATAGGGTCTTTATGAGTCGGAATTGACTCCACGGCAAAGGTTTTTTTTTATTTTTGTTTTTTAATCTTTATGGAAGCAGACTGTCACATCTTTCTGCCTCTGACGGTAGCCACTGTGCTTCCAGGAACCTTATAAAGTGCTTAACAACAACAACAACAACAGAAAACAAATCCGTTGCCAGAGAGTCAATTCCGACTCACAGCGACTCTATAGGGCAGAGTAGAACTGCCCCATAGAGTTTCCAAGGCGCTCCTGGAGGATTCCAACAGCCCACCGTTTAGTTAGCAGCCATAGCACTTAACCACTATTCCACCAGGGTTTACAGTGCTTAGCACAGTGCAAATCACAAAGTCAATAAATCTTAACTGCTGTCATCATTATCACCATTATTGGGATTTCATGTGGATAAAGGACTGAATCTAGAAACTTTGGTTATCCTTGTTTTCATTCCTGAGGTTCTTACAGAATGAACCTGCAGGAGCAAATTTGCATCATGTCTGCAAAGTCAGTTATTGGCCTTTCATATGTGTGAAACTCCTGAGTTTATATTTAGTGATACCACCAGAGGATGGAGACCTAAATGGGAATCAAGTTGAAATTCACTCTTTCAAAGTTGTTAGAGGATTATTAGGAAATTTTACGCTCTCTGTTGGTCCTAAGTTATTAAAAAATACTGCATATACAAGTTGCTGTTAGCAGTTGTTAGCTGCGGTGGAATCTACTCATGGCAAACCCATGCATTACGCGGTAACGCTGTTCCATGGGGTTTGCTTGGCTGTAATCTTTAAACAGGCAGATCATCAAGCCTTTCTTCTGTGTAGCTGCTGAGTGGGTTTGGACCTCTAACCTCTTGGTCAACAGTCGATCGCAAACTGCTTGTGTCACACAGGCTTCTAAAAGTATTCATCAGGAAACAAATGGTACCTGAAAAGATGATGTCCTTCTCTGTAAAATTAGGGAGTCAAATTACTTGATCTCTAAAATAACTTCCTAATTCCAAAAATTTAGAATACTGTTGACTCATTGTTATGATAAATTGAGAGACTAATTGTATATATCTCTCAGATGTATTTCATGTCTGTCAGATTATATTTTAGAAAGCAGTAGTTTAGAGGTAATGCTTAGAACACATCTGGAATCAAGGATATTCAAAGTTGAGAACCTTTACTAAATGTGATAGGAAGACCTGGCGAGTTTTAAGCAGAGGAATGACATGGATCAGATGTGCCTTGTAGAAAAAATTATTTTGGCAGCCAGGATTTAAGGAGACAGTAAAAAAAACAGTAGACAGGGAGGATAATAAAGGTCTCTGAGGGGGTGGAAAGCTATAGGCTTTAATACACAATTGGAAGTATCCTCTTTGGATAGGAGGAAGTGTTTCTTTTAGTCCTTTGATCACCTGTAGCCACATTATCTGAGGTGTTTGTTAAAAAGTAGATTCCTGGGCCTCCACCTTAAAAAAAAAACAAAAAAAGCATTGTCATCCAGTCAATTCCAACTCATAGCGACCCTATAGGACAGAGTAGAACTGCCCCATAGGGTTTAGACTTACTGAATTAGAAGGGTGGAGACCCAGGAAGGTGCTCAAATTTTAAACAAGTATCCTGGGTGACTCTTAAACAGACTCATGTTTGAGAACAACTACAGCATCGCTATGAGTCGGAATAGACCTGACGGCAACAGGTGTGTGTGTGTATAGACAGAAGAAAGGAGCCCTGGTGCTCAATGGTTAAGTGCTCGGCTGCGGTTCGAACCTACCAGCTGCTCTACACAAGAAAACACCCGGCAATCTGCTCCCGTAAAGATTGCAGCCTAGGAAACCCTATAGGGCAGTGCTACTCTGTTCTGCAGGGTGGCTACGAGTCAGAATCGACTCAATGGCACACAACAACAACACAGAGGAAAATAGATGTGGTAATTGTAGATGGAGGGTGTAGGTGGAGAAGAAAGCAAGTGGAGCTGGAAAAGTTTAACGAATTGAGTGAAAGGAAAAGGAGGGATAAGCAGCTGGAAGTTTCAATGAGATTTTTAAAAAAAGGTTTATGACCTGTAAGGTACTAAGATGATTGGAAGGATTAGCTAGAGATAGTGCTCAGATGGAAGGATATTGTAGTTTATGATTTCAGTAAAAATGTGAATAACCCACTCCACACTTTAGTGTCATTTCTTTGAACCTCCTTAACTCCTTTCTGTAGCTCACTGTGATTCTACATCTTGGACTTTGTCTTCACTCTGAGGGCTTCACCTTCAAAATCTTGCAATGTATATTTTACATCTTAACTTCTCATTACCCGTTGCCATCTAGTCAACTTTGACTCATAGCAACCCCATGTGTACTTCTGACCAATAAATGGTTTACCACTAAGCGATGCTTATCCAGAGGTGACACTTAGGAAGCTAGGCTTCAAAAGAAAAACAAGTATTAAAAATAAAAAAGAGCAAAGATATCAGCAGCCAAACACTGCTGGGGAGATAGACGACAGAATTACTTAAGGCAAGTCATTAAACAAAGAAACAAAACTCAACAAACAGCAACAATAATAGCCTGAGGGGAATCCAGAATTAGTAGAAAATGTCAAATTTTCAACAAAAAATTTCTCAAGATGCAAGGAAACAGGAAAGTTTCATCATGTTAGGAAACTATTTTTTCCTTTTAAATATTAAAAAAAAATGTAATACCCTCCAATTACTTTTCAAGTTCTAATTAAGTAATTGGAGAAGATGATATTTTACTGATCAAATTTTAACTAAAACTTTTGCATAACTGAGAAAGAAATAAGTAATTTGATTTATGAAGCACAGCCAAATGTACTTCTTCCATTTGGAGTTTCAAATCTTTGAAGGTATCTTCTTCAAATATAATGGCATTAAAAACCAAATACTGAAATAAATTGACTTTAGAACCAGACCTTCAAATCACTGCATCACAAAGTATTAAATCATGCTTTTCAAAAATAGTGAGGCCTATTGTGTTTTGTATCATTAATAAATAAAATGGAATTAAAAATCAGTTTTAGAAACATTGCTTATTTATCATTTTTAATTTTTCTATGTTTTAGGATTTACATAATAAATTGTAGTATATGTACATAATGTATAAATAAATATACAAACGTTGGTGATAGATGCTTAGATATTTTTTATTGCTAAGACTGTGCAGTCTAAGAAATTTGGAGGCTACTGCTACAGAGTCACATTTACCCGTTGGCATCAAGTTGATTATGACTTATAGTGACCGTATAGGACAAGGAAGAACTGCCCAATAGGGTTTCCAAGACTGTAATCTTTACAGAAGCAGACTGCCACATCTTTCTCCCAGGGAGTGTGCTTTAACCATGGCGCCACCAGGGCTCCTTACAGGGTGACATCTAGATGCCTATAATTATTCCTTGCTTTCCTAAATCTTCTTTCCTGGAGGCTTTAAACTGCCAGTTCCCTTGCCTACCTGGGCACAGTCTACTTAGAATGCAGGAGGTTTACCTTCTCCGTTTGATTGGAACTATCAAACGGAGAAGGTGAACCTTCTATTTGTGGTGGAGGTGGGAGGTCCATGAAGTTTCAGTTTAGAGTTAATACCAGAAAGCCTTGGTGAAGTTGATACTTTTTTTTCGCATATGACTGTCCATTTTTCATTCAAATACTAATGGTCAGCATCCTGGAGTGAAAGAGTAACAAGTGGTAGGTTTCCAGTACCAAACCCTGGTCAGAGCTGCCTAAGAACTACCTCAGACCCATAGGGCAAATAAGGGGAGAGGAGAGGAAGAACGTTAGGGGAGGAGGTGGTGATACTTCAAGTGAGTTTGAAGAAGTAAAAAAATTAAGAACTAGAGAGAGTAGCCTAGACTAAGTAAATAACAGGTGTAAAAGCATAAAGGAGCAAGGCAATTTTGTATTATTGCACCGATATATTTATATAATATATGTAAATATATAAATCATTCATTTCCTTAAATTGATCTATACATTCAATGCAATCAAAATAAAAATGTGAACAAGTTTTTCTTTGGAAATTGATGGGCTTATTCTAAAATTAATATGGAAATGCAAAGGCCCAGAGTAGTCAATAGAATCTTGAAGGAGAAAAAGTGGTTGGAGGTACTTAATCTACAGATATGAAGACAGTATAAGATTAAATAAAGACAGTGTGGCATTAACACAAGGATAGATAAATATACCAAAGAAACTAAATAGAGAGTATAGAAATAGACCCACCCATTGTGGACACTTCAGCAAGCAAAGTTGTGTCATCTGCATAACACAGGTTGTTAATGAGTCTTCCTCCAATCCTCATGCCCCGGTCCTCTTCATATAGTCCAGCTTCTCGGATTATTTGCTCAGCATACAGATTGAATAGTTGAATAGGTATGGTGAACGGATACAACCCTGATGCACACCTTTCCTGACTTTTAAACCATGCAATATCCCCTTGTTCTGTTCAAAAGACTGCCTCTTGATCCATGTACAGATTCCTCATGAGCACAAT